AAATCTAGTAATGTATCTGTATTGTTTAACAGAAAAAAAATACATATGTGTGTGTATATATAAATATATACATATGTGTGTATATATAGGTGTAGTGTATACATATATGTATATCACTAGGCAATAAAGAAAACATTTGCAATTTATATATTGTTTGATTTTATGAGCAGGGAAATACTACTGTGGTAGAAGTAAAGGTTTATTTCACATTTTCCAATGAAAGCTTGTTTTCTGTTTGTGCCAAGCATAATTTTCTAACTTACATACATGTCTAACTGTAAATAGATGGAGACAGAAAGATTCCTCTTTAAGAATCATCTTGAGTCAGTTTCAAGCAGTATGGCAGACTAGATGTTCACAGAAAACCTTTCCAGCAGAGTACATGTAAAATACTACATTACATTGAAGAGAGGGGGAAAAAACCCTATTTTGAAATGCTTGGTTCAGCTGGTGGGAAAGTAAGACTTACTTGCTCAGGGGACAGAAACAAGACAGCTGAGAACATAAGGAATAAGGTGAGACCTAGAGCTAGCATTTGCCTGAAAGGTTTTAATAAGCCAAGTAAGACAGAGCTTGGGATTGAACTGAGTGGGAGATCAGACTGGAGACACATAAAGGGCTACTCCCTTCATATGGAAGGCAACACCCTTGAGGATGAAGTAGGTAAAAACTTGGCCTACAAACAGTTTTTGGAGATTACAAATGGTCCCTGCCTAGTTCACCTTAATGCTTTTTCGACTTTACAATGATGTGAATGCAATACACATTCAGTAGAAACCGTACTTCAAGTACCCAGAGAAACATTCTGTTTTCCACTTTCAGTTCAGTATTCAACAATTACATGAGATATTCAACACCTTATTATAAAATAGGCTTTGCTCTGGATGATTCTGTGGAAGTGTAGGCTAATGTAAGTGTTCTGAGCATGTGTAAGCTAGTCTACGCTAAGCTGTGAAGTTCAGTAGCTTAGGTGTATTGAATGCACTTTCAGCTTACAATATTTTTGAATAACAATGGGTTGATTGGAACATAACCCATCAGAAGTCAAGGGTCTCTGTATACATGTATCTTTCTCAGTCTTGTCTTCTAGTGAAAGGAAGGTAAGTTGAGAAAAAGTCTGCCTTGAGAATCCATAGCCACGATCCTGCACTTGCTAAGCTGAGGGGTCAAAATTCATAGCACCTGTGTGGATCTAAGTATCTTAAGTCTAAAATTTAGTTTAAACACTCACAGAAAGCTTTACATGAGTTCATCTACATGAGCTACCTAGAGCAGTCAGATTCATAGAGACAGAAAATAGAATGGTGGTTGCCACAGGCCATGAGGAGTGAATACACTCAACATTACTGAACTGTACATTTCAAAATGTTTAAAAGATGACAAATTTTTTTAAATGTTTTACCACAATTAAAAAGCTTAGTATAAAATGTTCCATGTAGGTACAATTAAAAAGTTTGGTATAAAATGTTCCAGTAACCTACCTGAAACATTTTATACCAAACTTTTTAATTGTGGTAAAAAATTTTTTTAAAAATTTAACGTGTTTTTAAGACATTTAATTTTAATTGTGGTAAAAAATTAAAAAAATTTTTTAAATGTTTCAGACATGCCTTTTCAGACATTATTTCTGCCTACTAGAAATAAAAAAATAAATAAATAAATAACCAAAAAAAACAGGGGTAAGGGGAAACCAACCTAACCCTCATAATATCCAAGAAGTCTGATCTCACAATAAAAAACTTTACTCTAAAACATAAGGAAATAGCCTCATATCAATGACAGCCAGAAGAACTAGTAAACTATATCACAGTAAAAAAAAGATAGTAGAAATTAGATTTATCCATTACAAGCTAAACACTGTGTGCTCAACATTTTTTAAAGATTGAATTGAACCATGTGGAAGAGAAAATCAATTATCAAAATTAGCCAAGCAGATTTGAAAAGTAACCAACTAGAACTTAATGGGTAACAAAAAAACCATATAGTTCTTAATATTATAAACCAAACAGACTGGCTAAGTGTCAGATTGATTCTGTTGGAAAGAGAAGTAGTAAATAGGAAGATCGAGCTGAAGAATTGACAGCTCAGTGATGCACATGGATGGAAATACGAGAGATACGGAGTACAGGTAAGAAAGTCCTGCATATATCAAATTGAAGTTTGTGATACAGGTGATAAACAACATGTGAGTTAAACAATATTTAAAGAGAAATGGCTGAGGCTTTTCAGAAACAATGAAAGATAACATCCTCACATTCAGGAATTCCAAGGAATGCCAAGCACACAATTAAAAGAAATTCATGACCAGGAACAGTGGCTCATGCCTTTAGTCCCAGAACTTTAGGGGGCCAAGATGAGTGACTTGCTTGAGGTCAAGAGTTTGAGACCAGCCTGAGCAACAGGGCAAGAACCTGTCTCTACAAAAAAATACAAAAATTAGCCAGGTGTGGAGGCACATGCCTGTAGCCCCAGCTTCTTGGGAGGCTGAGATGGGAAGATCACTTGAACTTGAGAGGTTGAGGATACAGGGAGCCAAAATCATGCCACTGCACACCAGCCTAGGCAACAGAGAGAGACCTTGTCTCAATATATTTAAACTAGTAGAAATGCAGAATACTTGAACAATATGATAAACAGTTATGTTCTAACAGACATATAGAACACTTACACTGTATAATAATTGCAGAACACAATGTTTTTAAGAATCTAAAAATGACCGGGTGATGGATGCAGCAAACCACCACCATGGCACATATACCTATATAACAAACCTGCATGATCTGCACATGTACCCCAGAACTTAAAGTATAATAAATAAATAAAAAAGAAAAAAAGGAAAAAAGAAATTTAAAAAATAAAAAATATAAAAGAAAGAAGAGCAAAAATTTTTTTAAATAAAATTTTAAAATATTAGTATTATACCGTTTTGAAGATATGACATATTTAACAATGTTTGAAAAGGGTCATACTCACTGAATAAATGTGCTACATATATCCCATATCATCCAAGGCAACATTAAAAAATACCTTGTTTTAAATTCAAATGAGGCTGTCCAAGATCTTAGAGCAAATGAGAGTCATAATTTGAAGTTCTCTCTGTGTCCAAAGAGTCTAGTCTTCACAGTCTGATGCATTTCCTCTATGACCAGTATACAGGAAGCATGCCTCTATTTTCTCAGTGCAACTAGAAGATTCCTGAAGGTAGCCAAGTATGGATCTTGATATCAACCCAGTGGCCAGGAGAATTGCCTTTATTCTATTGTGCCTCAGTATGCCCATTAATACTGACTTCTCTGTTCTGCTATAACTACAACTTTTTTATATTTCCTGCACATGATTTTACAATATTTTATTAAGTTGAAGATTTTTTTTTCATCTTGAGATAGGGTCTTGCTGCATTGCCTAGGCTGGAGTGGTAAGATCATAGTTCACTGCAGCCTCAAAAGGAGAGGCATTTTATCAATACATTCTATAGGACTGTTAGTTTATTAAACAGCATGTGCCTGGTCTGATAATCAGGATTTATCAATTTGTTAATATGGCTTTACTCTAATAGGCAAGATAGGAGTAACTGTAATATATTAGTAGTCTCACTGGTGCTGTATTAATTCTGTAATAAATTCAATTTAAGGCTAACGAGTAGCCTTAGCAACACTGTTAGACTTGTTCATAAAATTAACAGCAGCTGGCATTTCTTCATTTAGTGATTTGTTTTACTGGCCCTTATGCATCTAAAATAATATGTAGGGATTGAATGGTGAACCCCAACAAGATATGCCCATATCCTCACTCTGGAAACCTCTGAAAGTGACATTATTTGCTGAAATGGTCTTTGTAGACATAATTAAGTCAAGGATCCGAGATGAGATTATTCTGGTTGATCTGGGTGGGCCATAAATCCAATGGCAACTGGTGTTGTAAGAAACAGGGAAGAACACATAGACACAGAAAAGGCTATGCGGAGGCAGAGGCAAAAACTGTAGTTATGCAGCCAGACGCTGCATGGATCCCAGACTCAGGAAGAAGCAAGGAAACATTCTCCCTGCAGCCTGCGGAGGAAGCGGGGCCCTGACAACGCTTGGTTTCAGACTTCTGGCCTCCAGAACTCTAAGACACTAAATTTTTGTTGTTTTGGGGCACCCAGTTTGTTATAATTTGTTACAACAGCCGTAGGGAACTAATGCATGATACCACCTAACATGCATTAAAGAAGTAATACTCTACTTCTTTATGTTTTTATTTTTTGAGACAGAGTTTCGCTCTTGTTACCCAGGCTGGAGTGCAATGGCGCGATCTTGGCTCACCACAACCTCCGCCTCCTGGGTTCAGGCAATTCTCCTGCCTCAGCCTCCTGAGTAGCTGGGATTACAGGCATGCGCCACCATGCCCAGCTATTTTTTGTATTTTTAGTAGAGACGGGGTTTTACCATGTTGACCAGGATGGTCTCGATCTCTTGACCTTGTGATCCACCCACCTCGGCCTCCCAAAGCAAATACTCTACTTCTTACTATTCTTTTTTATAATTGCATTTTCCAAAATTCAGATGATTCAAACCACAAGTGACACAAATGTGAACTTTCATATTTGTGGTTTTCTTCTCTGGGTGAAACCATTGACTTCCCCTCCCTTTCTATTTGTGTAACTTTATTACTCCAACTACTGGGAAATATTGAGCGAGGGGAATTGGCAGCTACTTTGATATCATCCCATGAGACAAAAATGAAGTAGACAGTGACACCTCTTATGATGAGTTATAAAGGATTGAGCTAATGAAAGGAAATGACTTATGCAAAATACCTAGGATACTAACTGACATGGAGGAGGGACACAAAAATGCCAGCAACAACTTTAATTAATGTCAGTTGTAAAACTTTTTAAATACTATCTTCCATGTAGTTAGTGGTTCTTTCTACATGATTAGTATTGCACTGACCTGATTACTGTAGATTCTTCATTTGATCATGCATTAATTATATGGCATGTAAGATAGCCTGCTTACCTATCCAGGTGTGACATGACTGTTTTGGAGATGTCTGCACCTGCTTCTTGCAATATTCGGATAATCTGAAATGGTGCCTTGGAGTGCCGTCCAGGATGGATAATAACAGGGCAACCAAGCTGAGCCTGGGCGTGAGCGGTTGCCTGAAGAACCTTTCTTTCACTCTCAGTCAAAGGCCAGGAGCAACCAATTTCTCCAATAACGCCACACTTGATACTGGTTCCATCCGCTCCGTGGAGAATTTCATTCATAAGGACATCGGTAAGCTAAGGAAGAGTGAGAAGGAATATATTTTAAAGGTTGTGAAATGTATCCAAATAGATCCGTGACAGTATGTGAATGAATTTATTTCTTTAGTCCTTCCTTCTTTTAAAAATGTATTCAATATTTATCAATTAATATTGGCCAAGGAAAAAGGCATTTTGCTGGCCAAATCGCAAATCAACAAGTTACACTAAATCCAAGATTAAACAATAAGTGTTTATTTAACGAGACATTGACAGCTTTAGGAAGCTGGAGTGGGGAAAAGTGGCTTAATGACAGTGCATTCAGAGTGAAGGGAAAAAAATCTAAAATTTAACCTGGGGAGCAGCATCTAGAATTTAGAAAAACTTCCCAGCACTTTGGGAGGCCGAGACCGGCGGATCACGAGGTCAAGAGATGGAGACCACCTGGCCAACATAGTGAAACCCCGTCTCTACTAAAAATACAAAAAAATTAGCTGGGCATGGTGGCACACACCTGTAGTCCCAGCTACTTGCGAGGCTGAGGCAGGCGAATTGCTTGAACGAGGGAGGCGGAGGTTGCAGTGAGCTGAGACTGCACCACTGCACTCCAGCCTGGCGCCTGTCAACAGAGCGAGACTCTGTCTCAAAAAAAAAAGAAAAAAAAGAGGAATATAGAAAAACTGCCAATGAATTGAATCTGTGTCTCCTGTATCCAGTAATTCTTTTTCTTTTTTTTTTTAAAGAAGCAGGGGTCTAACCAAGTCAGGCTGGACTTGAACTCCTGAGATCAGACAATCCTCCCATCTCAGGCTCCCAAGTAGCTAGGACTGCAGGCTTGTGCCACTGCACAAGGCTTCCAGTAATGCTTTAATTCTCTCCTATTTATTCAGTGTTTTACCGAAGACAGCATGGAAAATTTACGCACACAGTACCACTATTACACTTTTTGGTTCATGTGTATAGTTACTGCTCAGAGTGGTTGGAAAAGTGTATAATGCTCGTCATCAGCAGAGTCTTTAAATACCATAAATATATTTACAAAAATAAAGCCCTGGTTGGAAAGCAGTGCAGACAAAATTTTGAAATACAAAATATTCTAGAGAGTAAGTGATCTTTTGCAAAGACTGAGCTGACACCCCATGCCTGTTATGCAGGCAATGGAGGATACATATGAATATATACATATATGCATAAACAGGTATAAACAGATACATGTGTGTTTAGAAAGAGAACACACACGTACAAAAATGTTTTGCAGCTTATTCTTTTTGTCCCTAAACAATTTGCTTCCTTCTGCCCATTCTTGTTTGAGACCACATTATGAAAACACACAGGAGAACGAATTTTCTTCCACCTCTCGTGTTTTGTAAAAGGAAAGTGAAACACATTCACAAACGTGCCAAGTCTCTGCCTGCCAAGTTTCACCCTACAGTGAATCTTCATTGCTGGTTATTATAAAATCCAGGGGGACAAAAATTGACGTTGCATGACTGAAGACGGAAAAGTGAGGTTTACAAACCGACTGTGGCACCAATACTGAGGACAGATATGATATACGCAATCTATTACCACGGTGAATTTTTCAATGACCACTGCATTAAGATCTCTTCCTTGACACTTTATTTATTAATATTATTATTTTCCTTACCACAAGGCTTGCTTGCAAAATTGGCACTTTCTCTGTGAAATACAGTATTACTAATTTGGGTCCCAACTGACAGATGTCTTTGCTAGCTAGCAAACTTCCATAGTATGCCCAGTTACCTCCAGGCCCAGGGCATTTTTCAAAGTTCTGGCTGTTTTGAATTTATGAACAGATATCGTCAAAGAGCTTAGGCTTTTTACCTGCTCCACTGACATGGCTCTGGTCTCTGAGGAGTGAGTTGCATCCACGTAAAACCCAGCTCCGGATATGATATGGACGCCAGTCTCTTCCGCAAGCCTCTTCAATGTCTGCACATCTCGGCTAATCCCAGTGGTTGTGTTTTCCACCAAAGCCCCTCCACCATTAGCTTTGAAATATAACAGTTCTTCCTTTACGGCTTCTGTCTCCTGATTCAGTTGAAGGTTTTCTTTATGGGAATAAGAGTTTTTGTGAATCCAATATAAATTTTTCATCACGATAGGTTCTTTGGAAATAGCTTCCTGGCACGGAGGAGGTGGACAGTAACAGCAGTCAAAGGTCATGGTCAAGTGTTCATGGGTCAGGGTGCGGCCCAGTGTGCTTGGCTCGACAAGGCCTAAAACAGTTTGGACTTTTCCACTTAAGGAAGACATTTCTGACGGTATCACCAAGAGAAGTTCTAAAAGGAGGATTTTTTTTTTTCTAAAAACAAACAACTACAATCAGAAAACTTTACACATGCATAAACTCTCGTCCTTAAGGGGTGGGAGGCTGTGAACATACACCCATGTAAGAAGGCAAATCAATAAAACTAGAGAGATGATCTCACTTATGATCCTGCTGAAGTCAGAATCTACCCCCACTGCAGATCTAAGTGACATGCATGGTGTTAATTGCCTCCCACCACTTCCACTGGGAGTCCTCTTCCTGAGTGAGTGCTAACCTTATCTACTGGGCAAATTCTTTGATATTCAGTTTGCATTTTTCTTTAACTTAATTGTATCTCTTAGTCATAGCTATGTATTCTTTTTTTTTTTTTTTTGAGACGGAGTTTCGCTCTTGTTACCCAGGCTGGAGTGCAATGGCGCGATCTCGGCTCACTGCAATCTCCGCCTCCTGGGTTCAGGCAATTCTCTTGCCTCAGCCTCCCGAGCAGCTGGGATTACAGGCACGCACCACCATGCCCAGCTAATTTTTTGTAATTTTAGTAGAGACAGGGTTTCACCTTGTTGACCAAGATGGTCTCGATCTGTTGAACTCGTGATCCACCCGCCTCGGCCTCCCAAAGTGCTGGGATTACAGGCTTGAGCCACTGCGCCTGGCCAGCTATGTATTCTTGAATAAATCAACAATAATTATAATTTAAAATTTCATTTGTCGCTTTTTAGCTAAATTAAATATCCCGAAGCAATGGCTCTTTCCTTTTTTTTTTTTTTTTCTGTTGCCCAAGTAGAGTGCAGTGGCATTATCTCGGCTCAGTGCAACTTCCACCTCCAAGGTTCAAGCCATTCTCCTGCCTTAGCCTCATGAGTAGCTGGGACGACAGGCATAAGCCACCACACCTGGCTAATTTTTGTATTTTTAGTAGAGATGGGGTATTCCCATGTTGACCAGGCTGGTTTCGAACTCCTGACCTCAGGTGATCCTCCCACCTTGGCCTCCCAAAGTGCTGGGATTACAGATGTGTGAGCCACTGTGCCTGATCTTTCCACTATTCACTCACTACTCAAGCAAACAAAATTCGGTTGAAGGCCCATTATGTGCCAGAAATTAGAGCCATAAAGAAGCCATAAAGACCAGCCTGACCAACATGGTGAAATCCCGTCTTTAGTAAAAATGCAAAAATTAGCCAGGTGTGGTGGTGCATGCTTGTAATCCCAGCTACTCGGGAGGCTGAAGCAGGAGAATTGCTTGAACCTTGGAGGTGGAGGTTGCACTGAGCCGAGATAATGCCACTGCACTCCAGCCTGGGCAGAAGAGCAAGACAGTGTCTCAAAAAAAAAAATAAAGAAAGAAAGTACGTTTCCTAAATGAAGGCTTTAAACGAATGAGAACTACTGAAAGTAGCGAGGAAAAACTGCAGCATTGCCAAGAGCAAAGCCAGGACTCAAGTCCCACTCTCTGGGAACTGAGGAAAACGGGCATCACGTGTTTCCAAGCTCTCAAACTGTTCCTTCAGATGATGTTCTGAAGTCACTATTTCCCCCCACATCCCTTTGAAAGCACATTTTTCTCATCTGTAAGTTAAAATAACAAAGCACATTTCGTAGACTGTCATAAAAATAAATTAGATACCATAGGTAAAAATACCTGTAGATGGATGGGTTCGGCGCGCAGCCCATATTCAACAAACAGTAGCTTTGTTATGTGAATTCTAGGAACCATTCATGTATTTCCAAGGTTATCTCTTTTCAGAGGGAGTGGGTGATAAGAGGGGAGATGACTTTGCAGAACCAGGGGAAAATTTGTGAAGGGTATAGTATACACATAAGATAAGGTGAAAACAATGTCACAGGTCAGAGGGTGACAGAATTATAGGCCAATTTATAGCCAGCCATTGCAATTATCTGGAACTCAGGTGTTTGAGATGTACTGGCTCATAAGGCATAAACAATGGATTTAGACTTTTGGACAGAACATAGGACTTGTGGTTAGTGTGGCCATTGATTTTGTTTGATAGTGTCCTTCTGCAAGCCAAGCTTCTATCAGCTAGGCAGTTCCAGTGGTGGCTATGAGAAAAACAGGCAGTATCTGCTCAGGGAATCACCATACAGCTGCCACGTGCTACATGGGGCAATATGTTTCGTTGATGATGGATAGGAATTTACTCTTCAGTATCTTATTCCTTGCTACTAAGAGCAAGGAATATGTAGTTTGTGCCTTCTGTTGATGAAATCACAATACCATTAATAATAGATGCAATCTTCCACATGAGTTAATTTGCCATTTCTTTCCTTCTGGCTGATGATCTTACAGACGTGTTCCAAAGAGTCACAGAGGGGCAGAAACTGAGCTAAACTGATAAATTCTATCACTTTTGCTTGAAAAGTACCAAACTGCGTATTTAATTGATGTATATTTGAAAGAGCAATGTTGGTACGATTCAAGCTCACAAGCTGTGAGTCTTTCTGAAAAAAAAAAAAAAAAAAAAAAAAAAAAATCACTAAAGAAATGTCATCCCTTCTGGGAAATACCTCTAATGCTCTCAGGCAGAACTGGCTGGCACTTTCTATGATCACACACACTGTAACCTCCACTCAAAGGATAAGAAACGATTAAAGAACAAACTGTAGCCAATATTGCTCCAAGGTGGAACATGTCTTTGAGTGGGGTGGAAAGTGTATCTAGAATACATGCTTCCTGTGCAGTGAAGGAGTGCTTTTCGGTCTGCATTCAGCCTGGAGGTTGCTCTCTTCTCCACATACAGGCAAGGGGCTATTCACAGAGAAGAGAGTTCACAGAACAAGGAGGAAGGTAAGGATTGATGACAGCAGCAATACGCCATGGTGCAAACAGGAGTGGCTACCAAGAAACAAAGCAGGCTTCTGGTATTTTCCAGAGTATGCCCGAGAAGCTTCAGCATTGCATGCAGGTACCTGCACAGAAGCTAGTGAAAAAGGGAGTAGCTAGAGCTTATTATAAACACATTGGTCAAAAGTTCTGTTGCACTTAAAATGTGAAATGTGAACAATCTGAGAGACGGAGGACAGACTGCAATTACTATTACAGTCTAGCCAAGGGAAACAACCTTTCTAATTCTGATGGATCTAGAATTGCAAAAGAACAGAGACTTTAAAGACAAAAAATAAAAGGGACAAAAGAAGAGAATCAGAGGACAGTCCTCCAGCATAGCCGAAAGCCAGAGATGATAAAAAGGATTTGTCTTATTTCAAATATGCATGTTTAAACTATGCATATTTTGAAAAAATATGTGCATAAATCAACTTCTATGCAATATTTAGGAAATTCACCTAATTGTTGAAAATTTGGTGTGCAGGAGGGTAGTTTGGGGGCAATTTTAGTTTAGTTTCACTGAGAATTCCTCACAGCTATTTCACCCTGGCCATTATAATTAAGATGATTCTGTCTATGCAGATTAAATATATTTATTCAGTGGTATTTTGAATTTTAGAGGGCAGGACTTTCCAGAACTCTACTTTACCTGTGAATGAGGATAGCTTCTCTTAACTGCAATGCACTGTCCTTATGTCATAAACATAGGCTCTTCTCCCACCCCTGACTCTGCTACACCCAGCCCTTGACCTGGTACTCATCTAACAAGTTTAAATGCAATGGTCAAATTAGGTCAGGCACGGTGACTCACACCTGTAATCCCAGCATTGTGGTAGGTTGAAGCAGGCAGATCACTTGAGGCCAGAAGTTCAAGAACAGCCTGGCCAACATGGTGAAACCCGTCTCTATAAAAAAATACAAAAATTAGCTGGATGTCGTGGCATGTGCCTGTCATCACAGGCAGGAGAACTGCCTGAACCTGGGAGGTAGAGGTTGCAGTGAGCCAGGATTAGGCTACTGCACTCTAGCCTGGACAACAGAGTGAGATTCTGTCTCAAAAAAAAAAACACATGCAATGGTCAAATTAGAAAATTGATTTTTGGTGGATCAGTTTTCAATTGACTTTCTCAACTCCTCCCTCAAGCATGAAAGGTCTAATTCTTAGCACACATCGCTTATTTCATTTTACTCATAGTATTAGGTTTGTGCAAATGTAATCCCGGTCTTTGCCACTGAAAGTAATGGTCAAAACCGCAATTACTTTTGCACCAATCTAATAGTTTTGTGGCTCTGCACAAACCCTAACTGACAAAAAAGGGGAAGGGACCTCAGGGTTTGATGCAGACAATAGGAAGTGAAGAGCCTGGCAGCCGTGTGACAAATGGATGAAGGGAGGGGCCCGTTGTACCTGCAGGGGGCCCCATAGGATGTCGCTATTATCCAGAAAAAGTCAGGTAGTGTCTTGTCTGAGATGACACCAGTGGAGATGGCAAGGAAGCAGAAGCAGTAAGAGGAAGAGCAGATGGAACTTTCTAACTGGACTTGCTGGCACTATAAAAGTCTCCTCCAAATAAATGGACTTCTAAGAAAAAAGTGCTGTCTGGCCCAAATATATCAGCACGTCTATTTTTTGATGTGTTACATCACAGATTGCGGCTGCACTCTAGAAACACTGCATTTAACACTGACATTTGATTTGCGACAGAAATATTTTTTAAATGCATCATTTTTTTTTAAAGTTTGTTTGAATACTTCCACGGTGCATACAGGTTCAGACCTGCAATGTGTTTTCTTTAAAGCAGCCTGGGCCTGGACACCAATCAACAGCGACACCGGGAGTCCTTCCTTGGACACAGTCACCACCACCACACTTCTACTTTCTCAGATATTTATGGCGTAATGGTCCTACTGCATGTGGATTTATAACTTTTAATATTGAACACTGTCAAAAGAATCAATAGCCATGCCTGAATGAAGACAAAGAAATCCCACCACTTCAGGATACAGAGCAATAATGGGACCGAGCAAGTTCTTTCAACTGTGACATAAATAAAGCAAAACTGCTCAGAGATACAAATGAGCAGCTTGTATTCAGAAGAAAATGTTGGGTTTCATTGCCAAGCATTTTTTTTTTCAAATTGACAAAGAATGTAATAAGAAAACCTGGGGATGTGTGCAAATTCTAAACG